CTTCAACTTTGGGTGTTGGGTATTTTGTCTCAGCAACAAGAAAAGTAACCAAGACATCTATGTGAAAAATCCTATACTGTGGCACTGCCTGCTGTGCCTGTTATTCCACCATAAGGCTGAGGCAGGAGGATTGCAAGTTTGAGGCCAGCCTGGGGCAATCTAAGCAACTTAATCAGACTCTTTCTCATTCATAAATAAATAAGTAAACAAATAGATAAAGAGGGGCTGGGGATGTAACTCGGTGCTCCCCGAGTTCAATACTCAGTACTAGGAGAAAAAAAAAACCTAGTGAAGCTATTCAGTCAAAGCACATAGACTGGAGGGTAACCTTAATGAAGCTAACATTTCAATAGGGAATAGAGAAAAGAACCCAACAAAATAGAAAGATGTAGGGCCCAAAGACAGAGTTTAATGGAAAAACTGTGTCAGTCAACAGTATGAAATTCTAAGCCAGGTGTGGTATTGCACACCTGTAATCCCAGCATGCAGGAGGCTGAGGCAAGAGGATTGCCATGAGTTTGAGGCCAGCCTGGTCTACATAGTGAGTTGAGTTCAAGGCCAGCCTGAATTGTATAGCAAAACCCTGTCTCAAAAAATAATAATAAGGGCTGGGGAGTTAGCTCAGTGGCACTGTGCCTGCCTTGAAAGTGCAAGGTCCTAAGTTTGATTCCCAGTACCAAAAAAAAAAAAAAAAAAAACCACCAAAAAATAATAATAATAATCAATAGTATAGAATTCCATAGAAAATTAAATGAGGTAAAGAGTGAAATCATCTCAACCTATATAAAAAAAAATATGTCCAAAAATGCAGGAAAGAAATGGTGGCACATACCTATAATCTCAGCACACTGTGGGGGCTGAGGCAGGAGGATTGCTTTGAGTTTGAGGTCAACCTGGGGTACATAATGAGTTCAAGGCCAGCCTGAATGGCATAGCAAAAAAACAACAAAACAAAAGTACCCAAATAGTAGATAACTTTGTTCTGAGGATATACATATGTGTGTGTATCTACTTTGTGTGTTTTTCAAGGTTTGGAGGATCTATTCATTGGACAAGAGGTAATTTCAGCTCTGCAAACAATAAAATGCCAAAATGTAAAACCTAAGTATCCATCTGACTCGGCAGTCAGCAACCAGACACCAGTACAATCAGTGACCTTTTTGAGACCGATTGAAATAGATAAGTGGAGGTAGAATTGGGCTTGTGGAACTCAGTGATGTGGGAAGGCTTTTTGTTTCATGATGAGACTCCTTTAAACATATTTATTCACAAAAGAACTCAAAAAAAACATTTATTCACTGAGTGAAAGGAATAAATAAAAGTTGAAGCTCAATAGAAAATGATAATCACAAAGCAGAGTTCTGGGCCCGGGGATTTAGCTCAGTGGTTCCGCTGCCTGCCTCACAACTGCAAGGTCCCGAGTTTGATCCCCAGTACCAAAAAAAAAAAAAAAAAAAAAAAAGCAGAGTTCTGTTGTTGATTCATTTTTACATACTGGGGATTGAACCCAGGGCCTTGCACTGAGCTATGTCTCCAGCTATTTTTTTATTTTGAATCAGGGCCTCAATACATTGCTCGGGTTAGGTTTGATCTTGAGATGCTTCTGCCTCAGCCTCCCAGAGTGCTGAGATTACCGTGCCAGGCTAAAAGCAGAATTCTTAAGAGAAAGGAGGCATGGAAACAAGAACAGCTGGGTGTGGTTCCATTACACAGGAGCCCAGTTCAGCACACATTTGCTGGGTACCGGCCGTGTGGCAGCCCCTGTACGAGGTGCCGGGCTAGTCTGGTTGGGAAGCCAGCTAAGTTCGCCATTGGTCTCCAGTGGGACACCTGGCTCATCCTGCTTGATTTCGCCAGGCGAACTCAGGGTCTGAGATTGGGACATAGATCATTCTCGGAGTCCCTGTGTCACAGCTTCAGTGCTCTTTGTGAAGCAGGGTGTTAAGGTGGAGTGGGAGTTATGGAGGGAGGAGGTAGGCAGGGAGTTTAGTAAACTAGTTTTAACTTTTTTTTTTGGTACTGAGGATTGAGCTCTGGACCTTGCACTTGCAAGGCAGCCGGTCTTGCTGAGCTAAATCCCGGCCCGAACTTTTTGAGCTTACTATTAATGGATTAGCAACTCATTCTTACATATTCTTATGTGTTACAATATATCAGTAAAATAGTGCTGAGTTAATGAGGCAAGATGAGTTATGTTGAAAAATTTCCAGTTATTTAGAAAAACACAGAAATGTGTATGTTTAGATGTTAGATACCTCATTATTTCATGTTACTAAATTCCCTTGCATTCTTAGGTATTGTCATTTATTACAGGCATGGTGGTTTATGCCTATAATCCCAGCACTTGTGAGGCTGGGGCAGGAAGATTATGAGTTAAAGCCTGGCTATATGAGAACCTGTCTTTAAAAAGTATTGTTTTCAGGGCCGGGGATTTAGCTCAGTGGTTCCGCTGCCTGCCTTGAAAGCACAAGGACCCGAGTTTGATCCCCGGTACCAAAAATAAAAAGTGTTGTTTTTGGGGTTTGGGGAGGGGGCTTTTTTGGTACTGGGGATCGAACTCAGGACCTTGCACTTTAGAATCAGGCAGCGGAACCACTGAGCTAAATCTCCGACCCCAAAAGTTTTTTAAAATTAGTTTTCCAGTATAGAGTAGGTGTATCATAGCTGTAGTTTTTTTTATAGAATTTTAAAATCTTTTAAGATATTAAATGGTTCAAAGAATTGGAATGCAAAAAAAAAAAAAAAAACCAAGGGCTGGGGATTTAGCTCAGTGGTTCTTGCGCCTGCCGCGCAAGCACCAAGTCCTGAGTTCAATCCTCGATACCAAAAAAAAGAACAAACAAACAAACTGGAAAACCTGAAAAAAACTTTTCAGAATTACATAACATTTTTGTGATTATGAAATAGCCTCATGAAAATGAAAAAAAAAAGTAGTCATAGAAGGACATAGAAGAGGAAATGAAAGGGAAGGGAATGGAAGACAGAACTAACCAAAACACGCAGTAAAAGAGGGATGGAGCAGATTGGAAACCACGAAGGTGTGATGCTACCAGACCAGGTATGTGTGCTGTTTTCTCTGGCAGCACTCAGCTGCCTGGGTATGGGAGCAGAGAATACTTTTTTTGTTGAGACAGAGTCTCACTATGTAGCCCAGGTGGGCCTCGAGCTCACGGTGATCCACCTGCCTCAGCCTCTCAAGCGCTGGGTTTACAGGCGTGGGCCACCACCCTCGGCAAAGTGAAGACATTATTGTATAAATTTTGGATCATGATTTGTAGACACATAAAGTGAATTGACGAGAAAAAATGAAGCAAAAGATGAAGTGCTGGTAAAACACGAAGGAAGCCACACAATTCCAGCCTGATAAGCAAGTAGGAAGGAAGGAGTGATGACCTGGTCAGCCACCCAGCCCCAGGCTGCGGGAACAGATGATTTGGAAGGAAGAGAAGTGGGGGGCTGGGCGCTCCAAACACTGCAGCGAAAACGATGTTGAGCGAAGATAGAGCCTCTCTGTGCAATGCCACCTGCCCAGGGGTCGGGGCTCAGAGTGGAGCAGGGAGGGGGTGCGGCCCCTGGAGCGTTAAATTACTGAGGGAGTCGCATGGCCAGCTGTGCAGGTGGTAGCTCATCTAGCTGGATTTTGTTCTGTAACCTCCTGTTAAAAATCAACTATTTTAGCTGGGCGTGGTATCGCTTGCCGAACTGAGGCAGAAGGCTGGAGTTCAGGAGGCCGGGCTGATGGTCTGGAAAGGGTGCTCCAGAGCTGCTGTGGATGTTTCTCCTTTCTTTCTTCTTTTTGGTACCGGAAATTGACCCCAGGACCTCGCACTTGCCAGGCAGGCGCTG